ATCAAATGTTGTGTTTTATTGAGAATGAGCGTATAGTCAAAATACGTAGATTATTTTATGGGCGGGATAATAACATCTGTCTTAAAAGTTTATATATATATATATTTCAATGTTGAGATAACTAGATTTGGTTGGTTGTTTTGAGTAAATGAATTTAAGTTTACCCATGCATTCACTTAAATTTTTATATCATATATTTACAGTAAAAACCAATAAATTATGATGTAGTGATGGAAGCCTTAGGATTGAAGTTGATAGATTACCATTTTCTGATTTTTTAGACTATGGCTCCTACCACAGAAGAAAAAGATAAACTGTATAAAGCAAATTTGGGTGAAAAGAAGTTATCTTTTGAAAAAATGATGATGCAGGCTACTTTAAATGTCGCATTGAGGAGCATTATCCCAAATTGGATGGCATTGGTGGTTTTGAACTACTTAGAACACAGGCCAGAAGTAGATGCGACTTATCCCTCATGTACAGACTCAATCAAACCGAGTCTGCAATTCTCTTATAATTTTGTTGTGATTAATGCTTCCGAGGGATCACTTTGTTTCCAGATTTTATACTTCACAACAGCAGGTGTCAAGTGCTGTGTGGCAGCTGTAAAAAGTTGCCCCGTACTTCACTTCAGTGTTGTTATATTTTTCTGGTCCTTCGGGATCATTGATGCCAGCACTATTAAGTGTTGAGAATTGAGTACCGCTCAAGCCGGTGCTAGGGGGCGTGAGGGATGTTGCACGTATTCATTATCCCTCATGTACAGACTCAATCAAACCGACTCTGCAATTCTCTTATAATTTTGTTGTGATTAATGCTTCCGAGGGATCACTTTGTTTCCAGATTTTTGAAGTGATCAGTGTGCCACCAGGCGGCTGTACTGTTAACTTTCTGTCAAATTTCAGTAACCTTGGACAGACAGTGTGTTACATAAGGCCGATTCAGAATGATCTTTCACTTGTGGGTCAAGAATTCTCAGTAAGTTTAAATTAACATAATTATAATGAGGTTCATCCTCTTACAAAGACTGATTTAAAGATTGCGTTGTAAATACCTTACTTAAATTGCTAATTACATATTATTTTAACCATTTAATGGTTAGTATTCCAGTTAAGAACTGATTATCGAGACAATATTATTGTGGATCAATTTTTAACTCGGATTAGTGTCTTTTTTTCAGTTTCTCCAAGTTAACTTTTATTTTATATAGAGGATAAAAAGTTTTTTTCTATGTTTATATATTTAAGTTATGTATAACAGATCTTGCCATCAATAGAGCTGATTGAATTAGTTTTTGGGCCAATATAGTGCCCCCTCTCTACAACAACATCCTTTTGGAGACAATATTTTTGTTTGTTGTACAGAGGGAGTTGCTGAAAGGAGGTAAAATTAAGAACGATCTGAATGTATGGGAGACTTCTGTTCTTATTGTAATAGGGAGGGAATTGTTGTTGAGAGGGACATTCAAGAGAGGAAGTACTATAACTGATTTCTGACTTGGCTTGAGAATGATAAAAAAAATTATGCAACTCTGTTTGTAAGAATCAGTGTTACTGTTACTAAAAATATAAACTTGATTTCCTGTCAGATACTAGTTTTGGAAAACATGGTGATGAGCCCTTTTTTGTTCCATTTTTCGGTCCGGTATTGAGCTGCATTCTCCTAATTGAAAATTACATGTAATTATCCTCCCCAACTATTCAAAAAAAATTCCCCACCCCAAAAATAAAAAAATGATTCCATAGTTTTTCTGAGATGTTTTCTATAGACATGTATTACGGCTATGTTTTATACACAGGATGAAGTGACATCACGTATCAGTGTCGATAAAACACTATGTTTATTCTTAATGAATTCACTTCAATTGTCCAAGATTTTGATAAATTGATGATTAAGACTTGATATACTGTACATATATGTTTACTAGTATTACAATTAAGTAACTCATGTTTACTAAATTATTTGTTCTTTTCTGTCAATCTTAGGTATTACTTATCAAACTATTTTTGTTGTATAAGATTTACCAGTTGTAAGGTCATCAAAAGCATGTTAATGTTAGGATTTCATATTTATTTAATAGAAACTGGGAATTATTAATGTTATGTGCATACATGTATATCTTAGTGTATTGATATGATGAAACTTATAATATTTAAAGAGTTACAGTTATGTCATTATTATTAAAGGGATGAGACTTTCATTTAAAGTTATAAATGATAATACATGTATTGACTGAAAATGTCCTTAAACTTGGATCAAGCAATATAATTAATAAAGTCTCAAAAAATCATATTCTGAATAGAACTAATTCTAATTTTAACATAATTACATGTGCATAGTTTGAAAAGGACAGCTTCTGTCTTATCTATTTTTAATGTAGGGCTCAACTGGGCTCAACCTCCAGGTCTCCTGAGTCAACCCGACAACATACTTTACATAGAGTAGATTGTTACTTGCCCTTGAATAAATTTGTGCACTAAATTAATAGTTGGTGATTTGTGCCACATGAAAACCAACATAGTACAAAAAGTAACTGGGCGCCAGATGAAAACATGAAAATACAATCTACCACAAAGTGGTTCGTTTGTTGCATTTTCATGTTTTCGCCCTGGATGCAAAATACAAATCAGGCTTCATAAAATTTCTAATCATAGAAAAAAGGTTAGTTTTTTATCTGTACAAAAAATAGATATTGTACATGTATTAGCACAGTTATGTTCACTTTAAAATTGACCTGTTATAAATAATGGCACAACCAATAACTGCCTAAGCCCTTTTTAGTAAAAATAATTATTGTATACAATAATATATAAATTGTTATTTTAATTAAGACAATGAGTATGTAAGTTTTTTTTTCTTATTTATTAATTAAGAACTAATTATCTGTTAATTTAAAAATCTAAAAGTATCTGTCACGGTTTAGAACTGTTCACTATTTAGGGGAGAAAATATGTAAGTGGCCAGATAGCTTAATCGCTACAGCTGCGGTACATTATTCTGTGGGTCACAGGTTCGAGTTCTGGTCAAGCTGAAAAGTTTTCTCATCCTGTGACTGCATATAAGCATAAGTTCAATTCACTATGCTCTGTAAACATAAGAAATTCAAGGACACAAATCAATATAGTGGGGAAATATGTTGTGGTTTAGAACTGTTCATTATTAAAGAGAAAATGTGTAGCCGGCCGGATAGCTCAGTTGGTCTTCTGAAAGTCATGGGTTCGAGTCATGGTCAGGCAGTTTCAGTCAGGGTTTAGAAGTGGTTATTCAACTGACACAATTCATGTTTGATTCATTTAACAGATTGCATTAAATTTGAAATGTACAAAGGCAGTATTGCATGATACTTTTAGATCTACAAAGGGCATTTGATACAGTTGATCACACTATACTGCACATGAAGAAGCTCTTTTTCTTCTTCTTCATGAAACTTCAAGCATCTGCCATATGTAATGACATTCTTACATGGTTTAAGTCTTATCTCTGATAGACAGCAGCTGGTGGATGTGGCTGGTACCCATTCTACTACTGCTCTGAGTACCTATGGTGTCCCCCTGATGTTCATTTTAGGTCCTCTTTTATGTCTAATATATGTCAATGACATGTCTGCAACCCTAAGCAATAAGCTTTATTTATATGCACAGGCACGAGTATCAGACCTGGGAAGAAAAAATATGACCAGATTGATAAAAAAAAACTGTGTTCATCTCAAAAGTGTCAAAAACCAAAATAAAATGTAAATAATGACCCCCATTAAAAATATACTTTAAGTTAATTATTCTAAGTATATTTTATAAGGGGGTCATTATTTACATTTTTTTTTTTTTGTTTTTATGAACACAGTTTTTTTTATCAATCTAGTCATATTTTTTCTTCCCAGGTCCGATACTGGTGCCTGTGATTATATGCTGATGACTCAGAAATCCTTGTGTCTGGTAAAATAAATCTGAAGAAATTCTTTCTTATTATATAAGAAATTCTTTCTAATTATAATGAGTCTTATAAGATTGGTTAATTGACTATAAATTGTCTTTGAATCTTGGCAAGACAGAGTCTATTCTTTTTGGTTTAAGTTTCAATTTAAACAGGGCCTAGCCTCCAGGTCACAATTAATGGTACTATTATAAAGTACACATCTTTTGTTAAGTATTTAGGTGCAAACCTGGATCAAATTCTTATGACGTCACTAATTTAGTTGGTGTTAAAACTATTCGCTGTCTTATTTATTCGTAATTGAAATAATAAATAAATAAATATCGCATCTTGATTCAAGACTTGTAAGGGTATATGATTACATTGTAGAATGCACATGCTGATGAAAATGAGAATATAAGTGTAACAGGGTCATTCTTAGCATATTCCCGTTATTAGTAATTTACTACTTCATGCATTAAAAGGACTAATTTTTGTATTTTTTTATATTTTCATCATTTTTGGAACTTGATACTGCGTGTTTTACATTAAGGGTTGTGGTAATATGTATATTCTCTACCTTGTTGTACAATGTTAAAAATTATGGAATATGCTACTATTTTGTATTTCATAACTTGTGACACAATCAGATGTATATGTATCTTTCTGTTATTATATTGTGTATTTGGGCCGATCATAGGCACTTGGTTTCGGGATAAAAAGCCTTTTGAAGGGTTTGTAGAACCCAAATTTGATTGAATGTAACGATTTTTTATCATAGATGTCTCGATTCTAAATTCGACATTTTTCCGATATTACTAAAAAAAACATTTAGTAATATCGGGAAAATGACGAATTTAGAATCGAGAGAGAGAAAAATCGTTACATTCAATCAAATTTGGGTTCTACAAACCCTTCAAAAGGCTTTTTATCCCGAAACCAAGTGCCTATGGGGCCGATGGCCTATAATTACATTACAATAAACTTGAAACTTGATAATTGTTTCTGTACCGTTTGTACGGGTTTTATCGTTATTTTCTGGTCACGTTATCAGTCACGTGATCACTCTATTCTATGATGTCATGGTTGTTTGTGTACACATAAAATTGTACTCGGGCGCGAGATATGTTGGTTGTATTTCTCGATGGTTTTCATCTCTCTTATCCTTGTGAGGTTGTTGACTTATTTATTCAATGTGTACTATCTCAGTAAGGTATAGTGCAATGACTGAATTGATGTATTTATGTATTCCGCGTGTTGTTTAGTTTATTTATTAAAGGGAAATGCCGGTCAGACTGATTCTGTTTTCCAACTTGTGCATGTAACGACACAGTATATAAACGATTTGAACCCCAACCGGATCTTGTGAGAAGATTTTAGTGTCAGCCATATTCTGCCACTTCACTTGTTTATGATATTGGTATTTATATTGATACTGATGGACGTTAGGTTAGTAAATCTATATTTATATTGGAATCCGGGTCAGCTCGGCCCTTAAACGTACTCGGCCCCCGAGTCAGCTCGGCCCTATTCCAACTCGGCACGGGTCAACTCGGCCCACTTTTCAATTAATAATATTTAGGTTTGTGTTATTACTATTTATTGTAATTATTGTAATTATTTATAATACATGGATTGACAGTTTCCGAACTAGCAGCAGACAGGCTTTCTTATCAGTAGAATAGTGAGTAAAGAAAACCGATTGCGTATCTCACTGTATTTCTGACTCGTGGTAGGTTTAACCGTAAATTTGAATACCTTCAGTGTCCAACTAACTCATTCATTCAAATTTGATTAGTGACCACCTGCAATTAATTAGAAGCTTATGATATTAAATGAGCACGTTTATGTTTCTTATTTTTTGAATAGAGCTTTTAATACAAACAAAATGCATCTAAAGAAACACATTTTCATTAGATCTATATTAATTTTATCGAATCTGCAAGACAAATAAATAACTTTTTTTTTCTAAATATACTTTATTTCCGTAGAAGTAGATCTACAATGTATATTATATAATAATTAGATATTTCTCAACAACATGCAAAGCAAAGTTAATACGTTATATACATTTTTGCAAAGTGGGCCGAGTTGGCCCGTGCCGAGTTGACCCGTGCCGAGTTGGTATAGGGCCGAGTTGACTCTTTTCCTTTATATTGTAAGAGAGAAACTTTATTAAACGTCTAAGTTATGCAAAACATAAACGTTAGCACGAATGCTTTAAAATAATCGTAACTCACGAACAGCTTTCATGTGATCAACACTGAACACGAACAAAAATCTGTCTTATTCCAAGGTTGATTTAGTTAAACATTGAATTGTGATATCGAACTACTAAAGTAATCAATAACAAACGATAATTTAGTCATCTGCAAAAAGTAGTGCTGTATCTTGAACATAAATTTAAGAGTTTTACCAAAGAGGTCATTTCCGTAAACTGAACGTTACTTGCTGGTGATTGTGAACCCTACTTGTGAGTTTACGAATTTTATCTGTACCCTGACTTGTGAGTATTTTTAAAGATTTATTGGAGAAAACGTTTACGTTTATTGCGATTTCGTATCAATTATTGCGAGAAAGTATAAATGATTGTAATAGAATTTTAGTATATAAGGTGGGATCTATGGTATTTACCGAGAATTGGTTTAACTGATAATATTGTTAATCATTTGTTTATTAAAATATATAATGTTATGTATATCTTTCTTTCATATCATCATGGAAGAACACAACTGCATATACTGTTCAGTAAAGACTGTATACGAATTTCAATGCCATCATTGACCAAATAATTATTCGCCATCCAGACTGCAACTTGAAAATAAGAATAAATAATGATCAGAATAAAATTTCCTACTTAAAAACTTTCAGCGTCACAGCCAACAACGTAAAAGAAAAAAAGAAGTTTATAACACCAATAGCTGAAACACTGACAATTAAAATTTTAGAAAATTCCCGAATATTCTCCGTTTAAAAAGATGCCAAAATTGTCGACGCCTATGAAAGATATACAAGAATAAAAGTCGTACATGTCAAAAATAGACAGTCAATGAATTTCTGAGAATATAATTTTAACCGTGTTTTAAAAAGCAGAATGAAATCAACAGTAGTTGTAAATCTTTCAACATGTTGAAATAAGTTATCTGCAAAAAATCTTGTAATGATATTTCGAAGTTTATTGATACGTGACGTTATATAATGGTCACGTCAAAACTAACAACAATGCCGTTGAACCAAATGTAAGAAATTTTTAGTACATATGTAATATTTTAACTTTATATCTTTCCAAAGAAAAATGAATGGTAAGTGAAGATGAGGTTTGTTGATTAATCATTCCTATCAAGAAATAATTGACTTTCTGATTCGTATTACCAGCCACTTCATGCTGATATTTTCGTAGACAGTGAAAACATGATGAAGCTCCATTCATATGAAGTTTTAGTTACTTATAGAACTAAAACATGTACCATATGCTCTTGTGACACAATAACTTCATATTCTGCTCAATAAAATTTGGAACATACAACAAAAACACAATAAAAATCATTAAAAGTGACTCGCAAGTAATGGTTCAGTGAAAACACAAGTAGGGTACAGATCATTAAAATTGTTTTAGCAAGACGGGTTCAGTTATCAAAAATGTCGCCTCTGTTATTTACTAAGTTTTATCAAGATTCAAAGATATTTTCACAGGTGTCGGTCCGGTATCATGAGGTTAAGACAATAAAGTAAAGATTCAGATATGAGTTATAGTGACGTAAAACAATTTTAGGCATAAATTTGCTTGTGTAATCGGCGTGTGTTGACATAAACAAAACATGAGGCGAAGAGCACAGCGTTTTATGCGCATATATTTTACGAATAAAGTTATGGATGTATATATAAGCAAAGATAAAGTATTTCTCAATATGATTCAAATATTAACATACCGTAACATATTAAATTCAAGCCGATATTAAATAGTTTAATATGTCATCCCGCCTGATTTTACGTTTAGATGCTGAGATCTTCTCACAAGATCCGGTTGGGGTTCAAATCGTTTATATACTGTGAATGATGTATCATTACATTGTTTACAGAAGTTAAGGAAGCAGTGTTATGTGGAGAGAGAATTATATCTATTATCTATATAAGGGCAGTGGTCCCATAGACCAGTAAGTGTAACCTTATTTTATACTTTGGTTCAGATGAACCTGATAACATATTAATAACCTAGTCCTATTACATAAGATGTTTCCGTTCATACAACGTACACTCCAACGTCTTATCGACTTCTTCATAAGTTCCTTTTGCAAAACGCGCAGCGATTTTGAAGCGCTATATAAACCGTCGTAATTTACTACAAAAACAATATTTTGAGTAAACAGATATACAGACAGTAAATTTAAACATTTTTGCATCAATGTGCAGCAAAAAAATAAATGACTCGCAGGGTGTCCGTTAGACCCTTGAAATGACTCTTTGACCCTTCAAATTTCCAAAAGGCCTGATTTGACCCTCAGGATTTTAACTGGAGGGTCAAATTTTGTTAACATCATGGGATTTGGCCTTGAAGTCAGTAAAACTTAGTCAAAATGACCCTCAGGATTTCATGGCTAGTGAACACCCTGACTCGCCTTCGTATGTAAATAAATCCAATCCAATACAATCTATACCATTTTCACCGCTATATACATTCGGCCATGTTACCTGTATACATGTGGTTAATTAAAATTTCGGTTTACTGTAGACGAAATTAATTTTCCTGCATGTTTGTCTCTTGATAATTGGATTATAGTGCAATGTAGTCGATTTTTTTTTCATTTGTGCGTTTACACAGACATTTAATCATCGTGAAAGGAATATATAACAGAAATGATATATTACTTTGAAATTTGCAAACAAAAGTTATTTATTTGGTTCATATTATTTCCTTGAATTTGTTGGAAGTTTTGCATTTATGGTTTTGCGAGACAATTCTCATTCAATGTTCAATAACTTTAATAGAAATAAGATTTCATTTTCCAAACATCTTAAAATAGAACAGCTTATTGCAGTTCATGCTTTACGTTGTCCACATAAACTTAATTAACCCGTTAAACTGTAAATATATGTACTATATAGTAAAACCTCGCAGATAGGATCGACATTTTTATGTTATCGTGAAAATGTTTATGTTGTCAACATCATGATAGAAAATATGTTAATGAAAACAGAGTCCTTCAAATAGAAAATAAATAAGAAATACCCTGATGAAATTAATGTGCACTGTTTGGCACATAATGTTGATGTTCATCTGTATTTTAAAGACTTCTTGCGCTTTTTTGATCACGTGAAATAAATTTCATTCACGTTAAATAGATTCATTTTTGGGTCTGCATGTGATAACTTAGAGGCAATTAATTTTTAAGAAGAAATACATGAACATTTCGTCTACCTTAACATATAACTTTTTTATTACAAGATAAACATTTAGTAGTTTATGAAAAACTAATAATTTTAGATACCAGGGCTTTTTTTCACAAGTTGGGGAAGCAGCCCAGCCCTTAATTTTGGGGAAAAATTACATGGTATATTTGCAAAAGGGGAAGAAAAAACTTGATGTAAATTCAATATTTGGGGAAAACTGCATGATTTTAAAGAAATTTTCTTTGGGGAAGCAGCCCTATACCGGCCCCTGTAATAGAGGGTAAAAAGGCCCTGGATACTCATTGACATTTTTTTTAGATAATTTATTATTTGTTGAAAATCAGTTATCAAGACCATAATGATTTTATATACTGGTTGAAAAACTGTTTGCAATCATTTATTATTGAATGGTGTACATGTATGTATAAAGTGTCCGCAAAATTACAAATGATGTACAGCGCCTGCTTGTTCTGTTCAATGACGGGGTCCAAAATTATATTCACTATAAAAGACTATGAAGACCACTCTATTTTGCATAAAATCACTTACCTGTGAGAAATATGCATGTATATTGTACTGTTTTCATAAGAAGTATGATTTCAATATCTTTTATCACTAGGTTTTTTTATAGCCCTTTACAATAATATCATGTGCTATTTCCAAGGCTTATTTAAGTCTTTGAGTGGCTGGAATGTCAAGTTTTAGTAGCATACAGTACTGGACACGCGAAACCCGCACAATTCGCGTATTCGCGGCGAACTCTCATGCTTTAAAACGCGAGCGAATTCGCGGCAACTTGAGACAATTGCCGCGAATTCAACTCGCGGCGATTTTGCCGTGAACATTTGCCATGATTCGCGGGGAATAATACATGTTCATTTGTATAATAAATGTAGATCTATTTATAATTGTACTCTGTGAACTTGAAAACAGATTACATGTACAAGTACGAAAATTAATTAGAAGATCTACATGAAGTTGTATCAAGAAAATCTTGTAAGCTAAAATGCCCTTTCAATATTTATCTTTGATGCCAACAGCAAATATAAATAACCACGGCGAAATCAAATAACACCGTTAGAAACTTTCCATGAATGGCGGAATCATGACCTCAAATTCAATGTATAAATGCGACACAGTACAAGTATGCGGCTCCATCGGCAGGTAAATAGTGTACATGTACACGTGTAAAAATATTTTTTAGGGGGGATACATATTGAGTTTAAAGTAGAGATATAAATATAATATATGTGTAAAAAGATATTTAGTTACATAAAAAGATACATAATTGATACGACATTAACTTGTTCATTTCTAAATGTATCCCCATATTGAAAACGTGACATAAGACATAAATTCAAGCATGGTCAAATTACCAATGTGATAAACTAATCCTGCGTAAATATTCCCGTACGACCTGGAAGAGTTATAGTGGATCACCGGGACATTTCGTTCTCTAGGGTGATCATTACTCAATTTATTACACGTCTGTAAAAAATAACACACGCAAGATTTGTCTCCTATAATTTCTGAATGGCGGATATTTGCACCCCTGTTTTAAAAATGTTAAAATATTTAATTGTTAGTTACCGAAAATTATCGCCGATTGTTGAAATTCCATAGCGCTAAAAGACACAAAAACACTCGCGCAAAAAGAAGCATCCATAAATAAAATGAATATAATGTTTCCATTGTTAAAAAATAAATACAAAATTTACACACGAAGTGACCTCTGACAAATGACTGGTCGGCTCTTCTGAAGAATCTGTGAATCTTTGATGTTTACACACCTGTAGTTGTTGCCGAATCATCAAAGAAATGCTGACACTCGATTGCCTTCCACCTCTTTTTTATATATCAGAAAAAAAACTGTCATTTCTTTTTGTCAAGGAATGATTACACATGTTTAATTATTGCTCAAGTAAAAAAAAAATGTTGGATATTGATTGTGTCAATTATTGACATATTATTAATCGTAAGTGCATTTTGATTGTGATATTTTATTTACATTTTTATGATCTTGAAGATATTGTGCAATACTTGTGTCTGCAATCAAAACATTAAGGCATATGAAAGGACCACAGCTTCCAAAAATTTATTTTTTCGGTCAATTTTATGACAGAATTTATGCTACAATTTACAATTTTCAACAATCATAATTAGCGTATAAGACGTAATAATTAGTTACACCTGTGAATCGGTGCTAAATGTCGCTTTGCATTGTTCTAAAAATAGAATATGTGCGAAAGTAAACAATGGATTTTAATTAAATTTGTATTATTATCAAAATAACAATTGGACAATTTGTTATCGTGCGTTCTTTGATGTAGTACCAATTACCTTTTGTAATTTCAATCTCGTTTTATTGTTTACTAATTTTCACCAGCACCTGATTGCTTTGTTTTATTATACAAAATGTATACGCTGTACATGTTCAAATGCTAAATATTTATAAATAAACATGACATTTACAAGATTTTTTTAAAGTTTTAGTAATTAAAGACCACGGGAATGACCAAGTAGTACTTTCTAATACAATTATTGCTGAAGATTCGCCGTAAATTACGGCGATAAATCGCGGCGATTTTTCGTGAACCGCCGTGAAATTCGGCGAACTTGCACGCGGCGATGTTTTACCGCGTAGTGTCCCGTCGCGACATAGACTACACTCGCGGCATAACGCGACTTTTGCGGGTTTCGCGTGGCCAGTACTGTATTTTGTTATTGATAAGGTGATTACACCAACAGACTGAAAATTTGTACTGATCTATTTGTAAATATTTTAGCTGAACTAGTAAACACACAATAGATATCTTTACAGACCAGTCAGCTAAATATGTTGCGTTTTTAAAAATATCATACAAAAAGGCCGACGAAACCGCTTTTGCACCTCCTCATAAGTTAAGTTCTCTGAAACCATTATATTTATAACACCAACGATAATAACATACCCAGTAACTTAATTTCTTTAACACTACATGAAAATAGGTTTGCAAAAAGCACTACTTTTTTATTATTGCCGTTCATGTACAAAATACATTCGTCGAACTGGTAGATCGACATTTTGGATACGCTAACCAATAGTAATTGCTTGTTATAAATAGTCTGTCTAAATATAGCAACAGAAAAACCAAAAACGGCTACCTAAAATAGATTTTACGGTAAGCGTCATCAGTTACTGTAGCTTGCACGATAAACGTCATCAGTTTCTGCAGCGGGCACTTGCAAATAGCATGCGCAGTAGATTTCAATTATGTTAACTTCCGAAATAAACAAATGCAAGCATTTTCTGCACGCTGTATTAGATTACAATGGAATTTTGTGAGCTTCGAGAAGAAAGAGATAAAATCATGTCGGGTCAGAAACAATAATATCTATTGTCTAGGATTATTTTTGTGCGTACACTTGGACGCAAGTGGATAACTTATATGCGTACATAATTATAAAAATTTATGCGTATAGGGACGCAGAATTCTGCGTCCCGTAAAACCCTGTTCACAGATTATTGACCCATCTCCATTAAGGAAGGGTCCTGCTTTAATCATAATGTCTAGTTTTATGACAACAACATATGGTAAAATGACAATTAACAAGTGTAGTGAAATGGCAAATAACAGTGTCTATAATTGAAAGTGTCTCTGTTGTCAGCAGGTGTCCATGCAATTCACGCTAGATTGCTTATCAATGTGTGAACGAGTGGCAAAATATTTATGCCCCCAAAAACGAAGTTTGGGGGGGTATATAGGAGTCACCCTGTGGTCGGTCG